ATACTGTTTTATCTTTCTGTAAAATCTGGGAAAGGCAGTGTGGTGATAAGCACATAGTATATATCCTGCTGCAATGGCATAGCATGACAAATAATGAGCTATTTGCTTGAGGAGTATAGTATTTGTAAGTCCGCAGCGGTCCCAACGCAGCAAGTGGCTAGTCATATCTCAGGAGCAAGAACAACCTGGCCTTGCATATTCTTTGGCTGTCAAAGCAATAACAGTAGGTTATGAGCTGCAACTTCACTTTAAGGTTAAGGGCTAGACCTTGCAAATCCCTGTCCTTAAAATAATGGAAAACAGCACTCTAAAATCCAGCATCTGGAAGCTAGATATTTCCAACTGGAGGGAGAGCTGCAGCCCTTCTGTGGTAATAGTACTTGGACATCTGAGTGCTGAGGATCTCGTGGGCCCTTCATCACTGGGAATCTTACAGGTGGGATCGAATGTCTCCTGAAAAGCTCTGCCCTACGTCAGCTGTAAGAACCAGCTTGTGGTTGGGCTTTTGCAATGAAAGTGAATGGGGGACATGGGTGTGCCACGGGCTGTCAGATAGATGTGTGTTCGTAAATGGTCCCTTTGGCCAAGGGGAAGGTATGGTCACAGACAGCAAGAGGGTAGACTGAGGTCTTAATCCTTTCCTTTGAAGGGTCTCTTTAGATCCACCTTGAAAAATCACCTGACTTTTACAAACACGTGGCTGTAGGGAGAAGTTGTAAAAGCGGAAATCAGCATCTTCTCGTTGGATCCAGCACGTAGGAACAAGGTTGTGGCTGTCAGTGCAGCGCCACAGATGAGTCACTGGGTCAGGCCTGGGTGAGTCCACCCCCATCCTGAGCCTAGCTTTGAATTGGTCATGCTTTTTGAAAGCCCTGAGGTTTACCTGCTGAACTACCCTGATTACATGTCTTTTTGTAGTTCATGATAGTACATTAAATCCTGTGAGGGACAGTCCAAAAGTGTTGTGGCTGTTAATGGAACAGGCAGGCTTGTACAATGGACCTGCAAGAAAGGACAGAGAAATGTCTTGTGAATACTTAGGGCTCAGGCCAGTCTCTCTTGAGACTCCAGAGTTCATCCTAGGCTTGCTGAAGTTGCTTGAATACTCCTAGCCCTGGTCCCTAGTGAGGTATGTCACTGGGGAAATAGTGTCATCCTTAGAAAGAGGAATCGGGGATTTAGAACCAACCTTTGCAGATTGTGGAGCTGCTTAGTGCTTTAGACAGCTCGCTGGGGAGCTTTCTTCTAGTTGTTGTGGGTGATAGTAGCAACAACCCATAAGGACAGAAGATCTGGGTGGACTGGGACGTCCCGGGGGAGTCTCCCTTCCCCAGGACCAGACTTTCCTGTGTGGGTCTGGCTGTTGCTTGCCTGCAGGAGGTTTCTTCACCCTTATAGTCCTGAGCGCTGGGGAGCAAACCAGCTTGGTGGGGAGCCAGCAAGCTGCTTCAGCACCTGCAGTTCTACATGCAGGAGGTTTTACAATTTCAACACTTCATTAGGGTCAGGAGCAGCCCTTGGCTCAGGGTCTCCCAGGAGCAAAAGATCCCCCTGCTACGGGGCTTCCCTTTGAACCTGCTGCAGTGGCAGACTGATATTTAGCCCTCCATATTGTCCCTAAAGAGACTAGGGCTGTTGCTGAGGTCCTGCTCTTGGATCTATGTGGGCAAGTTTCCCTACGTTTTATTGCTTCACTGCAACAGGCAGAAGGAGGGCCAGGTCTTCTCAGTAACCTCTTAGCTTCCAATCTGATCGTCCACACCCAGCATCTCTGGGGTTGTGCACACACACCCCTCTGTAGTTCTGGGGACAGCCAAAAACTTGGGAGATCCTCTGTGAAGATGGCCAAGAAGGGCGGGGTGCTCATTTTAAATTGATTTTAAGTTGAAAATTATTTTTCTGCATAGTGGAAAGTACAGTCATAAACTCCTTCTAGTATTAATCATAGATGTGTTTTAAGGAAAGTTATCTCTTTGTCTGTGCTGTGTTAGCAGCTGGAAGTCCCCAGCCCTCCCTCTGCTAGGAGTTACCTTGACACAGGGGAGAAGATAGCTGTTGTTCTGGAGAGCTAATAAAACATAAAAGCAAATATTAGGTGGGTATGACCGATGGGAAACTGAGGTTCTGCTTAACAGACTAAAAGCTGTTCCTCAAAAAGGGGTGGGAAAGCATAAGTGTGGAGGAGAGGTTAGTTGGGACTGGCCTACGCTTCTGTCATGTAATGGATAGTTGTACGTGTCAATACTACAGCTGCTTTCCTGCACTCAGACTCCACAGGGATAATTGCACACGCCCAGCACTTTACCATTTGAATGCGCGTGGATGGGACCATCGTGCGACGGCTGCACGTGACGGTTGCACTGGGATGAAGAGTGCATCTTTCTTTTCAATCTCCGAGCAGACTGTGCGTGCGCACAGACAGTGCGCTCGACTTAAACCAAAATAATCCCCCAGGGTGTCTGGGCAGGGTGATAATGTAAAAGGAATGCAGGGAGGGTAATCGACAGAGAGAATAAGCATCCTCGGTAAAACTCCTGCTCTGGTCCCCCGTGTGCAGTTGCCTGCCCTCTCCTCTGAGCGCAGCCTCTTCTCCCTCCCTCCCTGGGAAGGGCAGGCGCTTCTCACTGCCCATACTTGTCATGCCAGTCACACACATGCTGGTGCACAGACTAACACCCTCAACAATAAATCTAAAAGATTAATTACCAAAAAAAAAAAAAAAAAAATAAAAATCCCACAACCCCACTTGCAGCATTTGAAATGTGTATCGACCGTGCTTCGCTTGGGTTATTCATGGGGAAAAGAAATAACCTCCTGAATCAAGCAATTGAGAATGCAAATATCCCAGCCTAGCTCAAAAGAGGAATCAAGCTCTATACTGTCAAGCTGATTAGCATCCTGTTACGTGGGGTACTGCCCTGAGCCTGGAGAGAAAATTTGGGGACAACTGAGTTTAATGCTCTGGGATGAGGTTTCTAAGTTTTGCCCACAGAGAAATTATAGTATTGCTACTCCCTTTATGATGAGAGACCGTAAGATATGTTTTCTTGTTCTCTTCATGGCAACTGCCCTTCCTCTGGTGAGATCTTTCAGCCTTTTGTTTCCTGTCACTGACCAGCTGTTTTTTGTGAGTTGAGGTTTTTGTTGTTGTAAAATTGCAGCTTTCTACAGGCAGTGGAACAAAGATTTTCTTTTTTCTCTTGTGAGCAGGGAGGGAAAGTACGTTGAAGCAGTTTCTCATGGGAGTGGGACTTCTGCTTGCAATAAGGATTTTACACTTTGTTTCGCCTTTTTCCCCCCTTTCTCTGAAAGCAGTGTAGACGCATCTTCCAGAAAGACTAGGAATTATATCCTGGTCCCTTTCAGTCCATATCCCAGCAGTAGGGTGGGAAATGTAGTATTTGGGAGTTGATTGGAAATATTCAGAAAGGAAATAACAAAATTAATCCCACTCTGCTCCTTGTTGTTATGTCCCAATGAACCTAAATCCTCTATAACATTCCTCGTTGTTTGTTGCGGATGTCAGAGGGGAAAATAAAACAAGAGCTTTCCTGTTAAGTGCTGTTCATCAGTTATTACCCACGCACAGGAGCGTGAGTGAAGCTGGAAACCACAATGGCAGTAACAGGCAGGCTGTGCGTAGTCTTTTTTTCCCCCCTGAAAAGCTGCTGTGCATCCTTGTTTCCCAACTTTATTTTTCAGACAGGCTTCACTGTTTCTTCTTTCTCCCCTTTCCCATCCACTCGGATTCCCAAGTGGGTGGCCTGCAGCAATGTCCAGGAGACATGAGCTGTTTTGACATGTGCTGGCACCAGATGGGACGGGTGGGCCTGTCTTGAGGACAGATCTCTGGACATTTCATGTGAGGTGTGTCCCAGGCCTTGGGTTTTTCCTAACCCACCCTGACAAATCAGGCACTTGGGTGGGTTTGCTGCCACTGCCTGGGTTAAACATCTCGCCGTCGGATTAAGGCTGCAGAGCCAGGGCTGTCACCACCATGAAGTTAGAGCCACGTCCTTTTAGCGTGGCAGCTGCTCCTGCAGATCCTCCAGCACAGAAACGCGTGGGGCATTCAGCATTATTGGCTCTCATCTTATTCATTCAGTGCTCCAACATGTCACTTCTGTTAATGTTTACTTTCTTTTTTTGTGCTGGGCGGGCTGTTACGTTGGAGGAGGGAGGCAGGATATAGGCAACAAGTAATGGTTTCACGTGAAAATTGAATTTTTGAAGATGTAAACATACGCAGTGTTCAGTGTAGGCCAGTTCAGCTGATTGTGGTGTAACAACAGTTTCTGGAAGTTAAAACGGATATAGATGTGGCCCAGGGGTTCCTCGTGCTGGGACTTTTCTCCCCATTTCATCTTCAAATCGCATGGGATGAGTGAAAACAGCAGCAGCAGCACATCTTGGTGAAATCCTGAATTCCCCAGCATCTTTTGCACATCAGAGACTGGGCAAACTTTGCCCGGGACAGAGTTTCTTAATTTAACACAGAGGTAAAGGGGAGGGTAGTGATTTCAGAGATGCCTTAGCAGGGTTCATGGCACCAGTGCCAACCACGTTAGAGTTACTCTTTTCAACCTGGATTTTTTTTTGTCTTTTTGGTGTCTCCTTGATAACGTTTGGATTGCTCTTTTGCTTGTGGACTTGTTTCAGTTTAATTGCACTGTATATTGTGGTTGCCATCCTTCCATTGATAATAAAAAGGTAGCTTGGTCTGTATGCCTCATATATACAGAGGAGTGAAGTTTCCATAAAGCTCTCCCATTTCTCACAACCCCAAGCTGTATCTCCAGAATCTTCAGCCTGTGCTGGAAACATTCTGTGGTGAGTTCCCTGCGCGGTGAAGCTTGCTCTTTTTGAGTAACTTACGGCCATGGGAAGCTATAAGAAATCTCACTGTTTCATGTTGGGGATAATGAGTTTATCATCAAGTCTATCTCCTTTCCATTTCATTTTTGGTCTTATTAAACATGTTTCTCTTGTTTCTTCCCAAGAATGCCAGGACTGGTGGGCAGCAGGTTGCAGACAGAACACTTCTACGCTTCCCGCAAACTGCACAGTCTGTTCAGCTGTGAAAAGCCTTCAGATAGCGACAGACTTTGGAGAACTATCAGAAAAGCTCCAGAGGCCTCAGCCTTTTGTAATCAAGGTAATGCATGGATGTGTAAGGCTGGATGATTAGTCCAAACTCTTGAATAGCACCAGCCAGAGACCCCTGCCCAGTATTTTCAAACACAAACTGCTGATTGAGGTAGAACATATATCTAAGAAGACCTTTAGACCCAGTGTAAGGATGTCAGGGGATGAGGAGCTCACTGCACCCTTAGCAAGTTGTTCCTCTGACTAATTATCATTGTGGTTGGAAACTCAGCAGTTTAGATGGCTGTCACTATTCGTTCTTTGGCAGGATGGAAATAGGAGAGGGGAAGGAACCCAAGTGCACAGCTTTTATCTTTGTTTTGTATCATTTAAGACAGGGCAGCATCTTTCCTATGAAGAACTGAAGCATTTTCAGTCCCAGGATCCAGACCTGGCAGAGGTTATAATAGAAGAAAATTCAGCTGAATTGTGGAGCTGCCCATTTTTCTTTCCCTGGTGAGTCAAAGACAAAACATGTGATAGATGTATACATGCTTTCTGCAGGGCTGCCCAGGCTCTTCGCCAGTGTGAGCTACCAGGAGCTTGCAAGTTGCACTTTAACCAGAGGGAAGGGCAACAGGAGTGGTTTATGGGCTTGTGTCTGCTTGCGGGCGCTGATTTGATCCAAGGAGAAGATGTCTGCACTAAAAATGGAGTGTTGTGGCTGGGACTTCACATATTGCTCCACTTACAAGACAAAAATATCCCAGCGACTGCTCCGTCCTGTTCTTCAGGCCATACGTTAATCATCTGTGCTGGGGTCTGATCACCTGAGGCAACTGGTTTCCATTCCTAATCACCTCTGTCTGCTCAGTGGAAATCCTCCACCACTAGTGTTGACTGAGAAGAGGTGCCATGACTTTTGCAAAACACTGAGAATTAACAGAAAGCTAAGGGATCCTGCAATTTGTGTCTGGTCTTGTGCAGGAAAAATGGCCCACCCTAATCCTGGCCCTCTGTGAGCTGCACTAAAGCCTTTAGCGTGGCTACAAGACATTTGAACAATTCAGGGCTCTCGAAGATTGCAGAGCAACCCAGTGCGTTAGCTGAATCCTTTCATGTGGAGAAGAGTGCCAAGTAACGTGGGCAGGTGCCACCTGGTGTGGAGCTGGCTCCCTGGCACGTTTGTACGAGCAAAGGAGCCGTGTCCAAGCAGACTGGGAGAAGGGCATGGTGGAGTCTGTGCTTTGGCTAACACTCAGATGGGATCTTCTTGCTGCACTCCTTGACCACGGCACTGGTAGACGGATGATCAGGGTACAGAAGTATTAATCGTGTCAAGCCACTAGACAGAGATGTAAAAATAACAAGCCCCACCCTGCCTTTTCCAGTTACATTCCCTGGCCTAAAGAATAGACTTGGATTCCCCCCGCCTTGCCATGTGGTTTCAGTTATGGTTGCATGCAATGCCACCTCTCTGCATCTCTTGTAATTAATGGATCTGATCAATGACTCAGATCGTTTTAAAGGAAGAGGGGAGGGAAATTAAGTTTAAGCATCCATGATGATCTGTTTGTTCCCTGTTTACGTGGTCCTGCTGCAGGTACTAAGAAAATATGAAGGAGCGCAGGTTTAGAAGCCAAGAGGTTGAATTTTGCTCCTAGCTTCTAGGGGCTGGTCTATCAGCAGGCTGTTTATCAAGCATGAATATTTCTGAAGAATTTTGATCTTGAAAGTATTTTAAATACAAGCATTATCATTGTGTGAGATTTCTTTAATATGGGCTGTTTTGTTTAGGAACAAATCTGTGAATAAAACTTGGATTCTGCAGGAATTTTTTCCCACTTCTTCTTTGCTATCCTTCCCTAAGACGGTGTCCCTGGAGAGCTGCTTCCTCATCCGCCACCCAGATTTGGGGAATAAGGTGAGAAATTCATCCCAGAGACGTTATCTCCTTGTCTGTGGGTTGTCCTCCAGAACCTCCAAGTCTCTGGGGGATTTACAGGACACTCAGCTGATACAACCCTAAGCCCTTGTTGTCAGGATTGTATCAGTTCTGTCCATCCCTGTGGAATGTGGCATCTCAAGGTTGCTGTACCACCCAGAAGTTGTGTCTGGTTTTGTGCAGGTGATACATCGTGCCCATCTCCCTCAGCAGTTAGAGCTGCCCATGAGGTGTCCCAGCTCCCGTCACGTTTATCTCTTGTAGCTGGGTGAGGGGATGGTCTTTTTGTGCCCAGTTGGACAGAATTCATTTAAGAGTTGCATTTTAGGAGCTGTTCCTGGCAGTAAATCTCACCCATTCCGAGATACCTGCCATGGAGACATTTCACTGAAGATAGTGATGCTTCAGGCTTCTAGCCTGACCTCATCCTCCATTTTCTTGCATGCTTTGTGGGTGTGGAGGGCCTGCATTGCCTTGGGCAGCAGAGTGGAGGAGGACCCTTGCACGTATCCGATCTCAGCTGTGATCTACTGGTGTCTGGGGGCAGCAGCAAAGCTGTGGTTGGCGCTGTCTCGCCTTGCTGCGGGGCAGTGACTTGCCCCCTGCTTGATCAGACAGACCCAAGAAAAGCTAGCAAGGCTTTTGAAATACTCTCCTCTCATCTCAGAGCTACAGTTTGCACAGCCTCTTTGCTGTTGGAAGTGGACAGCTCACCCTGACTGTTGTACCTCTGGACAAGTGCAGAGGACACTGTGAGACGTTCAAGGTGGAGCTGGAAGCTGGAGATTTGGGTGAGTAGGGGTGCTGTAGCATGCTGGGTCTGGGAGATCCCCTGGAGACCGCTTCCAGCTGGGTCTTTTCTGTCTGACACCTGAGAAGGCGGTGTGTGCCATTACCACCTCCAAACTGGTGCGTGCCTGCTTGCCACAGCACAGAGGAGTGATCGTTCTGGACTGGGAGTTTGTGGCCTGGAGCACCAGCAGCCGGGATATGATGAGACGCTCAGGGTAAAACCGAGCAGTATGGGCTGCACGAGACACAATGCGCTGCCGGGTGGTACAAACCCAGCGTGCCACTGAGGGCAGTGGCTTTCCAAAGAGCTTCTGCGTTACCCCCGTCACTTCACGGGAAATGTGAGCGGTCATTAGGCATCTAATATGGCCTCTATTGCGTCTTCCGAAGGTTATGCCAGCGCAGATCACTGGACGATGAGCTTCGTGGCCAAAGGGACAGAGCCGGCGGTCGTTTGTGATGGAGCTGCTAGCTAAGGACAGCGGGGTGGGAGAACGGAGCTGTTGCCAGGATGAGAAGACTTTCAGCTTTGAAGCCAAGGCAACGTCTTGAAAGAGATAGAGCTGGGCAGGCAGCTTTGCCACCCTGCGTGTTTACAGTGTTTAAAAATGACTGTTTTCCTGACCCTTGAGGTAATTCTTTGCCTTTCCTCAAATGTATTTTGGGAGAAGCTCAAGCTACTTACGACCTTCCCTGTCCCCTCAGGTAAGCCCTGGGTTTGCAGCGAAGGGTTTTTTCCAGGAGCATCAGAGGGATTTCTCAGGATGAGATTCACCTTGTGTCCTTTGTGGATTATGGCACTTCTGAAACTTTCTGGGGGGTTTGGGAGTGGGGGGTGTGTGCGTGACATTTCTGTGTACATTCCTCCTGAGGAGGAGGCTTTGAGCCTGTCTTGTCAGGCCAGCTCTATAAAGGGAATGAATTGATGATGTGTCCCAACTCCACCCCATCTCTCCATCACATTCACAGCTGTGTGCCTCAGTAGTGTGCTCTAAAAATCCAATCTCCGCTCCGTGCTCGAGGGCTGAGATGAGCCTTGCAGCCTAGGGCAGAGACCCTCTGCATCACTCTTGTACCAAAAGAAATCTGTTCAGGCCTCTTCCTTGTGTCTTGTGATCACTCTTCTGCAGTTCTCTATCAGCAGGTTGGGAGTGAGTCAAATAGTAACTGTGCTTTTTTTCCACACCTCTTTTCCTACAAAAACACTGATGCGAGTTTTAGCGGTGGTGGTGGCGCTGAGAGTTCAGTAGTTCTGGACGGAGATGGAGCTGGATGCAGAGCAGCAATGTACAAGTTTCATCTTCTGATTGTGCTCCTAAGGCGCCAGGGTTTCATGTACTCCATGCTTTGAGAGGTGCTGCCTGCCTTCCCAGACCAGGGTACCTCCACGAGCACCTAAAAGCTTCCTCATCCCTGGCATTTTTTTGCATCGACTCCTTCCAGACCTGGAACTCTGTCTTCAGAACGAACGTTGGTTTTTCCTGAGTCCTTTCCAAGCTGCCTTCGCATGCTTCCTGTTGCTTGAGCGCTGCTTTATCCAGTGCCCTGAGAGAGGCTCGGTTTCAGTGTTTGCAGGCTGCGGATGCTGCGGTCCCTTCCAAGTCTGATCCTTTGGGTCTGATCCTGCTGTTGAAGATCATTTACAGATGTGTCAGGCTGAACTCATAGGCCAGGGCTGGGGTTCAGGACATACTCTCACACTTGTTAATATGGAATTGGGAGGGGTTTTGTTTGAAAGCAAGTTAACTCTGTTCTCAGGAGCGAGAACCTCTTCCTCTGTAAATATTTTAGGTACGCGTAAAACGACAGATTGGAAAAATGTCTGTCCAGCCTTTGTTTTTGAGCAAGACCAGGAGAGTGGGAGCAAACATCGTACTAATCGTATTAGGGTCTGACAAAAGCTGCCAAGTGGGATGACCACGTCTGGCTCCTGTACAAGGATAAGGCAGAGGACAGTTCCAGCTCCAAAGAATTTAGTCTGAGGCCTTGACACTACAAACATTTCTATGCATAACCCTTGTTTTTCTCCTGTAAACCTGCAAAAACAACCCCAGCACCCGTGTCGGTCTGTGTGCGTGGCCCTCGGCACTGGACCAGCGTGTACCAGGTCTAGTAGAACCAAAGGTGGGGAGCCTGACTGTCTCAGGACAGAAAAGGACTGATTTAATTTGTAGTAAAATATTAAAGGGAATTGGATTAATAAGACTTCTGTTAGTATTGTTACTGCCTGGGGTGTGTTTTACACTTGTGACACTACATGCAATCGTGTACATGCCAAGACACACATACACCACCCCTCTCCCTCCTCTTAAAGCCTGGGTCTTAGTTCATGGAAATTTGGGAGTTTGGTGATGGCAGAATTAGGGCCTCATTAGCGACTGTTGCTATTTACATTTTGGCTGTTTCTCAAGTCAAATTCAAAGGCTGATGAGGTTACTTCACCTCTTACCAGTTTTGTACCTGACCCATTTCTGTAAAGCATTTGGTTAGGGATGCATGGGGAGAGAACCTGCTGGACCCATTATTGCTGAGATTGTGGGTGGTTTGGTGATGCTGTTGCTTCTAAGTGTCCTTGAATGTAACTTGTAAAAGAGCCGCGGAGACAATTCTCAAGTGTCTGTGAAATGCCTGTATTTTGTGAGTTGCACATAAGCCGTTGTGGCTGGCCGGCTCCTTTGGGAAGAAGCAGAGAAAATAGATCTATTTACACTTGCCGGTTAGACTGGAGGGAAAAGGGGGGCTCTAGGGCAGGTCTGTGCCTATTTAGCAAAAGTGCTCTCACGTATGGCTTCTCCCTTCCTCAAAGAGTTGCAGCTGGTTGGACAGAAGATGGTGACTCTGGACTGTTTGCAGATCAGCTTTCCAAGTGCACTTTATGGTCTCTGCATAAGTTTCCAGATCTGTGTCTAGGCGATACGTTGCATATGTCCCAACCTTGCTCCCTTTGGAGTTTACATCATTTGTTTTTAAACTTCCAGTATATTTTTTCTTCCTCTTCCAAAAGCTGTAAGGAATTAGCTGCTAAACTAAAACAGGAGGGCAGGTCTGCTGATAAAGAGCTGATTTTTGGCCCTAGCCGCTATTGAGTGCGGAGCCCCAGTCTGTAGCACAGCTTCTAGAGCAGCTTCTGTCTTCTGCTGCCAGAGGAGTAGTGCTAACGCCTTCGCATCGCAACGCGGGCGAGGAGCCAGGATGGAGAACTCGGAGGTGAGGCCAAAGTGGCAGAACTAGGATGGCCAAAAGGAGGTTTTGACAGCCTGGCCAAATGGCTGCAAGTGAGCCTTGCTCATCTTCCTCATCCGGGGCTCTGGTTTCGCAGAGCCTTTGCAGAAGCTGCAGGAGGCTGGGACTTCCCTAGAGAGCCCGGTGGCTCCTAGTGATCTGCTGAGGCTGAACTGGGGGAGGAATGTGGCTGTTTCCTCAGCTATTGAGGCATCGCAGCGACAGACGCGATGGTGTGAGTCGCAGCTTCGCTTGGGCGCTCGCGCGTCTCCAGGCGCATGTGCTGGTTTGAACAACCCCCCCGGTCCCCACCCTGGCTGGCTCAGAGGGGTGCTCAGTCAGCTCATGCATGCCAGCTTTTTAAAAATCTGTGTGCTTTCAGAGCTTCTTGCCTGTGAGCAGAGAGATGGACTCTTGCTCACCCGACGTCCCGGAGGCTGCAAAGCTGAAATCACACCGGTGAGGCACAGAAACCGGCACCACCCGAGCGCCCAGTGCCAGAGGTGCGGAGGGGTCGTTTCTCTCCTTGTCAATCTAGAAAGATGGGCTGTCACTTGTCAGCTGGGCAGGAGGATCATGGTTTAAAGCTGGTTTTCAAAAGCAGAGATCATTGACCATTGATCTTGACCACTCCTGAACTCAGGGTAACTGAAAAGAGGAGAAAGGAGTATTATTATTTACTTCAGTACCAGGCAATCACAATCCCTTATGGGAGCCAAGCTGCGGTTTCTATTGATATTTTTCTTTTTTTTTTTTCCCTTCCCCACTGGCATTGCACGCACAAATTCCCCTGAGGTTTCTCTGCAGATCCCAGCCTCGAACCCCCTTTGCAAAACCCTGAAGAGCTTTCTAGGGTCGGGTGTCTCGGGCCTTTAGCTTCTCCTGCTAGTCTTCTTGCTGTAATGGCCTGGCAGAGAAGCTGGTTTTACTGGGCTGGATCAAAACACCTCCCTTCTCTCATGGCTGGCCTCCCTGGCTTTCTAGCAGCAAGTCCTGCTTGCAGCGTGGGAACACCCCGAGCGAGAGGCGGTGGGGAGCAGGAGAGCATCTCGTGACTAGCGATGCGAGCTCTGTGAAGGCCAGCGTCTCGGAAAGGTGATCCCCCTGCCTTGAAAACCCCACGTTCACATCGGGAACGCTGCTCCGGGGGGGTGAAGTTTGCAGGATCTGCCCCATCCCAGGCTCGGTGCTCCACACTTAGCCCCCTGGCCCCCAGGGGAACCGAACGCTTCCTGGGGTGAGGCCATTTCGGTTGGGTGCACAACAAGCTTTTGCTTCCTGCAAACCAAACTTTCTCCTCTTTGTAAATTTTATATGTAGAACTATACATTCTCCTCTTCAGGAAACTCCTCCTTGTAAAGGATAGATTTACTGTCCTGCTGAGTTAAACAAGGGAGATGCTGGACTTCCCCTTTGCTTTGGAGATTCAAGCAAATGGCAGGTGATTTATTTTTAGCATTATCTCTTTGTCTATGGGGAGGGGAGGCATGTTATAAAGGCTCAGGGGTGCTGGGAAGTAAAGCTATATATGCATAAAGACTGTTTCAATGCTGAACACTATAAATTCAGTGATGGATTAAAAAAAGAATGTAAATATGCACTTAATACAGAATTTTATGGATGGTCATAATTTAATATATTGCAAACTTTGTAAATACTTGGAAAAAGCCTGTAAAGTGTGTAAATAAATGAGATTTGTATGTAAGAAGAATAAAAAAAGTTTTTACTTTTTGCAATTAAATACAAGTGTTAATGCACCTTTTCCTGATTTTTTTTTTTTTTTTTTTCCCCTTTTGCATGTCAGCTACTGAGGGGTTACTTAACCCTTTTTAGGGCACTTTTTCTAAGTGGAAAAGTCATTTCAAGTGAAAAGTTGGAACACTTTTGTTTGGAAAATGTCAAAAGAAACGTTTTAGAAAATGTTTTATTGGTTTTAGCCTGGCTCCCTAAACACAGTTGATGCAACAGCTCTGCCTTTCTTTCCAATAGCAGTCTCTGTCCTTCCTTCACAATTCAGCTTAATTTCAGCCAAACCTGGAGGGGCAGGAGCCGATAAGCTCCTCCAGAGTTCATCAAATCAGGCGAGTAGAGGAGAGGAAAACCCCGCTACTACCACGGCTGCGTTAGCTGTGTTTGGGCACCAGAGAAGCCACGCTGAAGACACTCAAGACGTGAGTCATTTAAAAAAAAAGAAAAAAAAAAAAAACCAAAACAAAACCAAACCACCCAGGCTTTGTTGCTTCTGCCTTCCTGGAGCCCCCGGCCCCCAGCCAGCCCCTTCCCACCCCGTCGGGTGTCAGCGTGCGGCTCCTGTGCTGGGGCTGCCGGGGGGGCGGCGGACGAGCAGGGGGAAAGCTGCATTCCTCCTGCGCTTACCTAATGCCGGCTGGACACCAGCGTGTCAGCTCCAGGGTGGGGCTTGGGCCCTGCGCTGTTGAGCTCGATGCCTCAGACCTTGGCTCCAGAAAGAGCCGCCGGGGCAGGTTGGGGAGTTGAGAATCGGCCCCTTTGCCAGCAGCCGCCCCGGCCTCGCCGACTGCATCAGCGGTTACTCACGTTTCCCCCGTGAGCCACGCGCCCTGGTTGTGACTCTTCCAGGGCTGTTTTCCCTTCCCCACGAGCACCGTGTGCCCTGATTCCCTTAGTCTGTTGCTGCACTACCTCCTGCGAGGCTTCGTCAGGATGCTCTAGTGCCAGGGGCTACGTGGAGCCCGGCCCTTCACCTCCACATCACGTTTGCAGAAACCAGTATGTGCGCTGGGGTCTTCTCAGCTCTGCCTTGTTCCTCGGAAGCCAGGCCGCAGCAAGCTGGCTGGCAGGGGTTGGAGCCACTGTTGATTCTTTCTAGTTGTGTCTCTGGAGATGCAGCATCAGACTGTCTGAGGTGTCTCATGGTGGAGATAGGTTTGCCTTGACAAAGACTCCAGTCCTGCAGTTCGCCTTCGCAATAAGTGGGAACCTCTCGTTTGACTGGATGAGTTGAAGGTGGCCTGTTGAGATGTTCTCCTCAGACCCCTACTTGCAGAAATTGTTGCACTATTGAGAGTATGGTAGAACCTGGACCTAATGAAGGAGAAGGTAAGAGATTAGGGGGGCAGTAGGAGAGCTATTGGGGTGAGAGAGGTGAGCAGCGTGGTCCAAAGCAAAAAGAAAAATGGCAAAGCGCTGTCTGGGGAGCCAGGAGGGGAGAGGGGGAGGCTGAGCTGACAGTGTGTGATTAACTTGGCTCTGCTAGCCGGAGCTGCCCACCCGCTGATCCTTTCTAACGGCCTGCGATCCCCCAAGGCAGCTCCTGGAGCGGAGCCGGGGCAGTTGCACAATCGCAGATGGGGAGGAAGAGGCTGCGGGGGGGTCCCTGCCAGACAGTCCCCGTGGGGGTGCGGCTGGAGACACTGAGCCCTCCAGGTGCCTGCCTGGGGAGGGAGCACAGCCTGCCCCTCCAGAGCTAACAGTCTGGTTATTCCAGCCAGCCCTGAAGGCAGCTGTACAGCCTCAACTCCCCCTTTTTGGGGGCAATTTCAGCTCTACATCCTGTTCTTTCTTTCCTGCTCATCCTTCTGATGGCAGAGGGAAGGGGCATCAACCCTCTGCTTACCCCCGACATGGCCGGTGCACAGACACGGGGCTGCCCGAGGTGGGCTCTGACTCCTGCCTGGGGAGTCACTGCGCTGCAAAACTCAGCAGTTGCATCTCGCTGCCTTCGTTTCTAGACGCAGCTGCGTTCCAGGGACGGGGAGGACCCTTGTGTAAAACAGGGCTTTGCCAGTTGCTCAGGGATTATTATTGTCGTTGAGGAGAAAAGGGACGGGAGGTGGGAGAGGGGACCCGTAACAGGGCTAAGGGGATGTCTGAGGCTTGGGGCAGCAGAGGCTTGGGTGAAAATGCCAATTCAGGGATTAGGGTTCAGGCCCAGGGTCTGTCTCGGGGAGTGGACCCTGCGCACTCATTGGCACCAGCCGTACTGCTGCTTCTCCATCAAGGCCGAAATGTGAGATGGGTGTGTACCGCGTGGCTCCGAAACTCTGCTCTAATAAAGAAATATATTTCCTCCCCGATCTTCAAGCTGTTGGGTGTTCCTTGCTTTTGGGAGGTGCTTTAAATCTGACTGCCAGAGCCGTGGGCTGCTAAGAGCAGAAGCTGGCTGCATGATGCTGAGTTCAGGTCTTCCTCCTGTTTTCCTGTTGCTCACAGCGCTGGAGCTGAGCTGGTCCCTGAGTGATGAAGAAAAGAAGATAATCTTGGATGGGCATAATAAATACCGCTCCCAGGTGTCTCCTCCTGCTATGGATATGCTGAAGATGGTAAGTGGCTTTTATTGCAGGGGAATGTCAGAGGGTGTTTGTGTAGTACAAGCCTCAATCTGAATGCTAGGAGGGATCGGGGTTTTCTGTAGGGGAGGCAGAGTAATTCTATTGTAGGGTTACAACTAGGTATCAGTGGAAAAGATCCCTAAATTGCCTCTAAAGAGACAAGTTTCCTTTTACCTATAGAATTGTCTTTGATCGTTTCTGGAAGTTCCAAAGCGTGATCTGAGTCCCCTGGTGCTCTGTGTGAGAGCGATGCAGCTCTCACCTGCACGAGTGGCCGCTGGAGTTCCCCGTGACGGGGAGGAAAGGCAGGAGAGACACTGCCATGAGCAGGTGCCCTGGGCCAGAGCGGGAATCCTGCTGTGGGGCATCGCCTGGGGCATTTTATTTGCCTTTGCAGCTGAATGGGCTTTTACCTAGAGGAGGGAACATCAACTTCAAACATGACAACCGGGTCTTTCAGTTATTTGGGCTTTCCATCATGCTTCTCATCCTCACCATGACTTGTGCATGGCTGTCTTGGAGGTGAGGGTTCCTTCATTTTTCTGAGGAAACTGAATCGGGGGCCCACCATTACATGTGGCTGCAGTGGGAGCAAAAACAAGCTCCCGAGCTGGTGCTGCTTTTTGTTTTATTCGGACCCCTGATGTGATTAAAATTTGGCTATCGCATTTTATCTTGGACCACATGTGATTTTTCTGTTTGCAAAACGCCTGGAGGAGGAGGAGGACAACTGTTTATCATAGATAGTTGGAGTGCTTTTGTCTTTCGGTCACAGTGTGCTTGGAGGAGACCTCCCTGTCTGGCCCAAAAGTTGCCCGGGCTGAATTAAACCTTTGTGGGCTGGTAAAAGGGACCTTACCGAGCAACTGAAGCAAAAAGCTGAATGCAGGCATAGGAGGTCTGACTGGTGACTTCAGACTCAAAGGGGACAGAGCCAGAACCATAAGTACCATGATCCCACAGACACCCACCAGAGCAAGGCACGAAAAACTCAGAGTACAAGGGCTTTGGAACCAAAGTCTTAGAGAAAGCCTGAGGGAAACCATCTCTCAGGGTCCTTAAGTCGGTGGCAATTCTGAACCAGTCACTGCTGCTCCCGGCTGAAGCTTTGATTGCCGATTGCGTGCTGTGAGATGCTCCCCTCCACAGCGTTGCTTTGTTTCTGCTTGAGCATACAGGACCTGCTCACAGTCTGGAGCCAAAGGCTCTTTTTTTTTTTTTTTTGAAGCACAACAAATGTTTAGCTTCCAGCAGCCCTGACAATTTCTTGGTAGAGGTTTTCCATGCGAGCTCTGTCCTTGCCTCCCTCCGGGACGTTTGCTTGTGCTGTCTTCGCCTCCGAGTTCACCTGCTGCCGTGGCACCGTGCCTGGCTGAGGTCACCCCGCGCTTCTGTTTGGGACACGGATCTGGTTGCTGTGGAAATAGTTAGGCGATGGGGGGGATACATAGCCTAAAGCCACTTTTCTTTTTTAATGAGGCAAATCCTGCAGGTGCGAGTCCCCTGTTTATGGAGCCCAGCTCCGTGCCAGAGGGAAAGGAGCGTGCGCTCCCCAGACTGAGTTTCCAGCCATTGCTCTCAGCCTGGCTTGGAGCCATGGTGGGAGGTCAACAAACACCCTGTGCCCCCATCCAGATATTTCAGCGTCCTTTCCCTCCCGGTCTCTTTGCGCTGCTGCTCGGGGGCCCATCCCCTCAACACCCCGAAGGTGACATGTCCTGAATGCTCTGTCCCCCTCCAGCTCCAGCCAGGAAGGTTCCCCCCTTAGGACCTGCCATTTGCTGGGCTGCCTTCCAGCCTGCAGCAGAAGCAAAGCTGCTGTCTCCATCAAATGGTGCGAGGATCGTCCAAACAGCTGCGGTGTAGGGTTCCTCGTATGCCTCCCTGAAAAAAAAAACCAAAACAAAAAAAAAAAAAACCCTCTCCTCCTCCTCCTGCATATCAATGTGGCTGGCGAGGGACCGCAGGCCGGTGGGCTCAGCTGGCGCTGGGGCCGCTGCCGCTCCGGAGGGGGCTCTTGGCAGGCAGCCGGCCGGCGGCGCCTCGGATCCGGGCGAGCAGATGATGTTTCCCAGGAGCGTGTTGTCCCAGGCTCTGTGCAGCTGCCAGGGGAGATGTGTCCTGCTCTCCTCCCGTCCCTGGCCAAAGAGGGATGTCCCCAGGTCCCCTCCTGCATGACCTGGGGTGAGTTTTCTCCTTTCTTCCACCTGACTTCACGGTTTCGCCATGCTGAGCAGATGATGTTAGAGATGCTCCAGGCAAGGTTGTGAGAGTTGTGCTGATGCCCTCACCTTCTGCTGTTTGACCTGTAAGCTAAGCTTTGGTGTGTGCTGGGACTGACTGTGGAGCTCCCATCTCCTGAGGACTGTGTTGGGTAGGGATTTGAATTTTACACGTGAATGGGGAAATTGTGGCCAGAGAGCCCAGGGGTCCTTGATATGTGTCCTGGGCATGTTGGAGAGCCCTGTGTCCTTCTCCATGTGCTGATGCCAAGCTCCTTTCAGAGCTGGGACACGGAGCTGGAGACCTTTGCTCAAGCCTACGCAGAAAAGTGCATCTGGGACCACAACAAGGAGAGGGGCCGACGGGGAGAAAACCTCTTCGCTATGGCCCCAACCCTGGACCTAGAATTTGCCGTGGAAGACTGGAACGCAGAGGAGAAATACTATAACTTGACAACTTCCACGTGTGCTTCTGGGCAGATGTGTGGCCACTACACTCAGGTACCAGACTGCTGGGGTGCAGGGATGGGGGTCTTGGGAAAGGAGCTGGACTAGAGCCCCAGCTCCTCCCAGAGCCTTTGCACAGGGATGGGGAACCAGGTAGGAATCACAATGATACAGGGGGGCCTGGGTGTGGTGCCAGGCATGACCAGCCCTTTGGAGAAGATCTTTTTTAAACAAGCTCTGCAGCCTGGTTTGGCTACTCAGCAGAGCTGGGTGCCAGCTTGTCTTAGGCAGAGATATGAGGTCTGCGTGTTTCTTCACAGCTTGGGTGGGAGCAAGGAGGGGTAGAGATGGTGGTGGTAAATATGAGGATGGAGGTATGGAGGGTTCCAGGACCAAAGCAGAGGTGGTGATGCTATAAGCTGGATGGACTATTTGGGAGGAAAGCTGTGGCACTAGCTTGGGAAGGTGGCCCAGACAAGGGCAAGGGACAGGATCCTGAACGCTAAAGCAACGTGGGGATGTGGGATCTGGGGCACACACTAAAAGATGAGAGGGGACGTTGGTGTGGTGACAGAGCAGCCTTCCAGGCCAGCTGCCAACAGGGCATCTGCCTTCCCCCAGTCACCTCACCTTCACCCCCGGGCTTTGTCTTAGGTGGTCTGGGCAAGCACACATCAGATCGGCTGTGGGGCAAAGTTCTGTGAGAAGATCGATGGAATCGAAACAGAGGGCATGTACCTGCTTGTTTGCAACTATTACCCACCGTAAGTCCCGTGCCCCACGTGGTTTGGTGCATCCTGATGGGTTTTCTGTGCTGGTTTCTGTGCTTCACTCCCTGTAGCAGAGCAGGATTTGGCCTTGTTCATAAATAACAGCAAAGTGATTCCAAGAAAGGACTTTGTTATCTTGGGTTGGTCACAAAGGAAGGAAGGGTTGTCTGGTGATCCTTGCCCATGATTGCGACTGCTGAGGTCTGCTTCAGCTCCTGGCACAGACCCAGGGAGGGGCCTCCCCCCCCCCCCGAGAGCTGCCCAAGGCCAACGTCGCCGTAGCTGAGGGTACACACGGCAGCTCCCCGCTCTGTGCCTTGTTCTTCCCCACGGGCAGCAGCGGTCGCCTGGGGTGGAGAAGCATGTTTGCAGCAGCAGGAAGGGTTGGACGTGGGAGGAGAGGCGAGTGCCCACTCACAAAGCCCTGGGACCAGCCTTGGGGACCACTTGCTTGCAGCTGGTGAGGCCAACAAGAGTGGCTGGTCACTGCAGGCCTTCGTAGGGGTCTTGAGCAGAAGGGAGACAAAATCTTGTGTCCAAACACCCATCGACTGCTCTGTGCTCAGGGGTGGGGAAGGATCTGGTCGGTGGAACTGTCTCCCCTGGTTTTAGCAGCCTTGGGGTCAGGCCATTGATTAAATGGCACTGACAACCTGTAGCAGGAGACCAAGACCTGGTTTTTACTCAGTATTAGAGTTTTGTCTTGGCTGGGATATTCTAGTTGAACCAGACCCCCTCTTTGGGATGGGTGTTTCTCCTTCTCTTCATGCCTTCTTTTTCTTGGTGTCTTCTGCTTCCAGGGGTAATATGAAAGGCCGAAAACCATACAAGGAAGGACCCTCATGCTCACAGTGTCCTGAGGACAGAGTCTGTGTCAACTCCTTGTGTGGTAAGCAAAGCGAAGTGGCACGCGTCCCTTGACAGGCTATTGGGACTCAGACCTCTGCGTTGGGGTCCAAGTTCTGATCCCTCCTGGAGCTGTCAGGAAGCCCTGGACCATGAGACATCAGGTGCAGTGGCAGCCCCTGAGCCAGGTCAGCTGCCTCAAGATGAGGAGGGTCAGTCAAGGACCTCGTACCCGCTGAGTCAGCAATTGTTGCCCCGTGAGGATGGCCCAATCCCGAGGGGCAGGAGGTTGTGTGAGGGAGACAGGATGTCTCCAAGTTGGGAACCCCCAGAGTTGGAGATGGCCCAGAGTGACGTGAGAGGGGTCAGCTGTTGCTTCACCCCCCGGCTGATTTCTGCTTGGGGATCCATTGAGGTCAGCTGACCCCAGCACTAACTCATGGCACTTTTCGTCTCTTACCAGAACCCACTGTAGAAGAGACCACTCCAGCCCCTGTGACAACAAAGGCAAGCCCCTCCACCCTAACCACAGCTATGCCAAAACCCACAACTGCAGCCAAACCAGAACCCACAACACCAGTGCTCACCACAGCCAAGCCACCACCCAAAACCACACTTCCACCCGTAACCACAGCCAAGCCACCACCCACAACCATGCTCCCAGCTACAGCCGAGCCACCAACCACAACCATACTCCCAACCACAGCCAAGCCAAAACCCACAGTCGTGCTTCCAACCACAGCCAAACCCAAACCCGCAACACTAGCCCCCATCACAACAGCCAAGCCAAAACCTGCCACCACAGTCCCAGTGACAACCCCAGCCAAGCTAGAACCCACAACACCAGCAGCCACCACAGCCATGGCCAAGCCAGAGCCCACCATGCTAACAACCACCACGCCAAAACCCACCACAACCACCACTACAGCCAAGCCAAAACCCACCTCTACAGTCAAACCAACACCCACCACGCCAAAACCCACCACAACCACCACTACAGCCAAGCCAACAACCACCTCTACAGTCAAACCAACACCCACCATGCCAAAACCCACCACAACCACCACTACAGCCAAGCCAACAACCACCACTACAGTCAAACCAACACCCACCACGCCAAAACCCACCACAACCACCACTACAGCCAAGCCAACAACCACCACTACAGTCAAACCAACACCCACCACGCCAAAACCCACCACAACCACCACTACAGCCAAGCCAACAACCACCACTACAGTCAAACCAACACCCACCACGCCAAAACCCACCACAACCACCACTACAGCCAAGCCAACAACCACCTCTACAGTCAAACCAACACCCACCACACCAAAACCCACCACAACCACCACTACAGCCAAGCCAACCACCACTACAGTCAAACCAACACCCAGCACCCTAAAACCCACCACAACCACCACTACAGCCAAGCCAACAACCACTACAGTCAAACCAACACCCACCACACCAAAACCTACCACAACCACCACTACAGCCAAGCCAACAACCACCACTACAGTCAAATCAACACCCACCACCCCAAAACCTACCACAACCACCACTACAGCCAAGCCAACAACCACCACTACAGTCAAATCAACACCCACCACCCCAAAACCCACCATAACCACCACTACAGCCAAGCCAACAACCACCACTACAGTCAAACCAACACCCACCACCCCAAAACCCACCACAACCACCACTACAGCCAAGCCAACAACCACCACTACAGCCAAGCCAACACCTGCCACTACAACATCAGCAAAGCCAAAGCTCACCACTACAACACCAGCACCTACCACAACAGAAAAGACACAACCAAAAACTTCCACGGCCACAAAGCCAGAACCCACTGAAACAGAAAGATCCAATCCTACTGAGGCAACTGGGATAACTCTTTCCTTTGAGCCCACGTTAGACCTGGATTATACAGTATCTCCAGAAGTAGACACTGGGGAGACTCGTAGCCCCCTAACTACAGAGGATCCAGACTTATTAGAAAGCATGGGCACAGCCTTCAGCCCCAAATCAGTCCCAGAAATAAAGGAAGGTGTGAAAGAGAATGAGAAAGAGAAATCAGCCTTTTCCAGTCCACCTCCATCCCTCAGCCAAATTGTTCCAGACATCAAGCTAGGTTTCAATAAAGCTGAGCTCATAACCCCCTCAAAGTCAGTGGTTTTCAGCCCAGAAGAGCCTACCTTCTTGCGCTTAACATCATCTTCCAAAGAAAAAAAGGGGCAGAGCCCCACGTTCCAGAACTCCCTCTCAGGTAAGGTAATTGTGGAGTCCGTCCCGGCATGGACACGCAGACATTCAGTGATCCCCAAGCAGCATGGAGAGCGCTTGGGAGGAACCAGCATCAGACTGGTCCTCTGGATCCTCCTCTCGTATGTGGCACCAACCCTTTTCCTCACTCTTTCCTCTAACACTGGAAGGATGTCCGGGTGTGAAGCATGGTTCTGTTTACAGCCTGCGCCCCACTAACCCACCAGCTGCGTCATGCCTTCGCTGGATCGGTGCACTGCTGCCTCGCGCTGTCTTGGTGCACGTCACTGATGGAGCTGCATGAGCGGGAGTTTCTCTTTTGTCCAGGTCTTCCCCTCTAACTCCAGGTTTTCTGCTCTTCTGCCAGCAGGTGCCCTGGACACTGAAGAACTGGAGACAAACTCAGACCAGACAAGCATGGATCAACCCGCAGCTGGAGCCTCCAGTACCTGCTTGGGGCTTTCGCTCTTCCTCCTACCCAGTGTCATCCTGGTGGGGCTTCTGCTTTGAGTGGCCCTTCTCAGCTGTCCCTGCACCAGCCACCAAGGCTTTCTTCAGCATCGGTTGTTCCACAACCCTGGTAGGCTTGGGAGACACCACGGACAAACCACGTTGACACGCTCTCTTCTTACGCTGCCTTACCTGCTCCAGCCCCAGCGAGCCAAGGGCAGCTGGCAGTCCCATGGGAACTTGGTCCCCTTCCTGAGGAGACCCAAGGGCAGGAAGGTGTCTGCCATAATCCTGGTGACCTTGGACCCTTCTCCTTTCTTCCCAGCCAGTCTGGGCTTCTGGTCTGTTTCCAAACTGGAAGTGATGAGCTATCCCACCCGCCTGTGTGGCTGGCAGGCCCCGCCGCACCATGTCCCCAGGGAAAGCAGAATGACTTGGAAACCCAAGTGGCGATGAGACATGGTCGTTGGCTTTGGTGTTTGTCTGTAGATGAGACGTGATGGCTGGGTTTGGTGTTTGTCAGGACGAGTTTCCAACAAAAATGCTCTTTTCCCCTCCCGATGTGTCCGTTTGTCTCAGTTTTGGAGTAGTTTCATCTTTTCCCTCCTTGTCCAAAAGGAGTGGCTTTTTTTTTTTTTTTTTTTTCCACCGGAGAGGATTTCTATTTCCTTCCTGGTTCTGGTACAGCTATGGCCAGTACTACCCAGATGTACTCCTTTCTCCTCCTCACACCTCTGCAACCCACGCCTCCTCCGTCTCTCCTGCTCTCTGCCGCATGTACCCATTCCACAGTTAGTCCATTGCCATGATGTTATTTTACGCGTGTGCCTGCACCCCTGTGCATGCACAGAAGAAAAACCTTCAGTGCTAAAGAGGAGTGGCTGGCTCCTCCATACAGCTTTCTTCTGCATGGCTTCCTCCTTCGCATAACTTAAGTGTATTTGAATTTAGATACAGAGCCCGGTTGACATATATTTTGCGCATGGTGGAACCTGGTCCAGGAGAAACAGTGCTCGCACAATTTGAGCTCAAGAGAGCCAAGTGAGTGATGTCAGAGGTTACCGGTGGTTCCAGGACTTGTTGCAGGACTGCTTTCATTGTCTGGGACACTGTTTTATACCCCCTTGACTCTGCTCCCTTCACCTGAGGATTCCCAGTAAGGTGTGTTAAATATGTGATGAGCTTTGCAGACTGATGGAAGGGACAAGGAGACACAGTCCCTCCTCTGGTTGTTGCATCCCTTGATTCTTTAAACAGATGAGGTGGAGAATGACCTGAAGGTCAATATTCATGTCCTCCCCCATGATGCTGTGTCCTGTGCATCCCCAGAGCATGCACTGAATAAATCCTGTTGTGAAAGTCAGGTGTGGGGCGTGCGGTGTCTCACTGGGGGATCTGGGGCCAGGGCCCTGCTTCTTATATCTGTAAAATCCTCTTGACTGTGTGCTTAGGTAGAATGGCTCAAAGACAACGTGGGTCCTGGGGGTGGTGAAGGGTTTTTTGGCGTTCCAAAAGCAACCAGGTGCCGGCTTTTGCAAGGTTGCAACATAAGGTTTTTAATCCTGTGTAAAAGCAGCAGCAGGAGGAGATTGAGGCTGATGTAGGGAATATTCCCCAAGCATCCAGCTGAGTGCAAAGCAAAAATGTGTCCCCACCAGGAACTTTTGGGCAAGGAAAGTAAGAGCAAGAGAGCTTGGAGTAAAAAAAAAAAAATGGATCGAAATGGACTGGAGTGCTTCTGGCTCCCTGTTTTTAGGGGCCTAGCAGCCAGCCTCTCCCACCCCCAAACACACACTTTTTCATCTTTGCAGCGAAGAAAGAAGTTAAATGCAAGCGCGTATCCCCAGATCCTGTGTTTCTGCAGGATTTTCACTGCAGAACATCACCCAGCTATGAGCAGGGAAAGGGCCTTGCGAGGCATAAACGTGCAGCACGGGAACAATGCTGGGATCAGAGCTTTGCTTTTTGCTTTTCCCCGTCCTTCTGCCCCCGCTTTGCCCGGCGAGCCTGCCCTGCAGCTCTGCGTTTCCTCTCCCTGAAATCCTGCTGGAGGAGCCCAGCAGCACCAGCTCTCTTACAGGAAACCAGCTGCCTGCGGGGTTTTTTTAGGTCACGGTCACCACTAGCCCTGGTGAATGGTGACCGGCAGATGGCAGTGGGAGAGACACCGCAGAGAACTGGGCAGCTCTGAACTCGCTACGCAGAGCCCTACAGGGAGTTCAGTGCTTTATTTAATCACAAGCATCAGATGTAGTTAAAAATCAGATTAAAAATAACCTCCTGCCCAGGTGCCGTGGCTGCTGTACGCTCTCATTGCAGGCTGAGCTCCTGCTGCCAAGCTGCTTTCAGGGAAAAAAAAAAAAAAAATCCAGCCTCGGGTTAGGGACAGATGATAGAAATACAGCCGGAGCGGCTGCCGGTTGCATGTTGTAAGGGGCGAGGGTTCAGGCAGGGATGGAGCTGGGAGAGCATTTAGGACCGTGACTGTTTTTCCATCTGGGTGAAGCAGAACGCAGCATTCGTTCCCTATAAACAATAAAAAGAGCAGAAAAGCATTTCTTCTCCCAGCAAAATCAGGGCATTTGGTCAACACCTGATTTCTTGCAGTGCTGGATCCATAACCCTGCTGAGAGCCATCATGGAGCAACAGTGCTGCTGATTAACAGCATTAGCAGAAGCCCATCAAAATTATTCTAGGATTTAAATATTTTATCATGGTTTTGGGGCTAGTGAACCTTGTAAAAACTGTCGACTTTTGTTTTTCTTAAGCTTTTGACTTCTGGAGACACACAGTTGTGCAAGGACCTATTTATAGAGTTCCTTGTAACAGAAAATTCAAAACCAGAAAGCGAATCCCTTTTCCTCTTCCCCCTGCACCCCAGGACAGCAGGTCTGAGCCCTGCCAACACGGGCTTTTGGGTCGGTTTGGTTTAATCCTATATTGGGGGGTTTAAGGAAGGAGGGAATGTGACCACATAGCAAGGGCAAGGTATGGTGTGGTGTACAAGGAAGGACCCAGAACATTCAAAGAAGACTTCTGTGGCATTTCCACTCCATTTCTGAGGTTGGCACGAAGGATGCTCTGGTGTCAGGGTGATGTGGTGGGCAACTCCTGGAGGGGAAAGGAGCCAACACCCTGGCAAAAATACTGCTGGGTCCTGGCAGCCCCACAGCTGTGTGTGGTGGGGGGAGGAGGAGGCATTTAACTACCAGCCGTGGTCAGCTGGGTTAAAATCATGGGATTTGTGGTGTTTATAAGGCTTGGCTGATACTTTAACCCCACCTGCTTGGTTCCCTCTCCCCGCTCCTGGTTCCTGTTTCCCAGCAAGGAGAGGGATGTGCCTGCTGCAGGTCGAGTGAGAGGTCGCTTTGGCTTTGTGCTCCTGAAGCTGCCCTGAACACGGCGAGCCGAAAGGATTGGGGCAAGCACGTGCAGCCATCCTGGGGGGCTGCAGTTGGGGCTGTGGTGCTGGTAGGTCTGGTTAGCTGCCCCACGTTCCCTCTGACTATCAGGGCTGAAAGCGCTCTCGTCCCACAGTGTCCCTGGGGGTTCTCCCTCTCTTTTCCTGGCTGCTTTTTGCTAAAAGAAGGCGCCTTCCCCTCCTTGATGATGTGGTTAGTGATGGCATTGCTGCCGCAGCACGGCTGCCCAGCTGAGACGTGGCTGGGCATCCTGGCCAGGGAGTTAGCTGGGTGTCCCAAATATCCATAGTTATAGCTTGGACAGCCCGCTAACCCTCCTCCTAGGCAGTGGCTGCCCTTTCCCATAGAGGAGGAAACATAAAGAGAAAGTAAATACTGCCTTGGCAGGTTTCTGAGTCCTAGTTGTGATTTATCAGAGACGAGATGTTGGGTTAGTAGAGCCTGGAAGTCCCTGTGTTCTCCTGTTGCTAGTATCAGAGTTATAAATGTCCTTGTAGCAAGGACTATCCGAGGCAGAAAGAAGCCCAACCTGCAGCGCTTGAGCTGAGGTGAGGAAGCAGGTTAGGGCTTCATGATAGGATTTGGGTTGGCCCAGGAAACCACCTACTGATGGCCAAAACGGATGGTCTCAGCTGTTCGGCCAGCATCCTCATCGTGTCCTGGCCGTGGCTTCCCTTTCATGCTCAGGATTTTGGTCAAACAGAGAATTTGGTCAGTGGCACACAGTGAAGAACGCTGGCCGGCCCTTTAGAGATCCCCATTCACCATCCAAGCTCGCTTCAAGTCAGCAAGAAGACACTCTTTTTAAAAAGTCAAAACAAGTTTATTTTCACAAGAGAATACTTCCAGTAATATTTTATTCATGGCTTCCAGTTCATACAGTTTCACTGCTTGAGATTCTCTGCATTAATATCAAATTAATGGAGGGGGACTGAACTGATTTCATTTGGGACACACAGGATGAGTTCTTTTCTAGGGGATACCTCCTAAATACGAAGTGGATATGCTGCTCTGTTCCCATGCTTGTGGTGCTATTTTGGTACCTTCCAAGCAATTTGCGGGTAGGAGCCCTGCCCCTCAGCAAGCAGCTAGTGGATAATAAGGCATCCAAGAGGACCAAGCTGTAGTTTTGCACAGCAAGTCGCCAGGACTGCTGAAGAGCCAGATTTATGGAGAGGTCTGCATTCCTTCGCTGCTAGACACTGCGGCATCCCCACCCACCAGCTGTTGCCCAGCCTGAGGAAGTCGCGTCCCAGCCCCGCTGCAGCTACGCCCCATCCCAAGAAGCAGAGGAGCCTTAAACAAGCTGCTTCATTTTTGGGGAGTCCCATGGGCCAAGCAGTCAGGTCTGGGTCTCCCTGTGCTCAGGGTGAAATTTGAGGGCTCCAATTCCTTTTTGCAGCTCTCTTCCTCCACTTCATCTGAGAAGGTGTCCTCTGCTTGCCCTCGCTCCCCGATGTCTCAGATCTCACGCGTCTCCCTGACAGTGAGATGGCAGTGATAATGGCCTGAGATGCCCTTCAGCCCTGAAGAACTGATGCAGCCCTGATCGTGTTACAGCTCCAGCTCCACTCATGGACTTGATCCTACTTACTTCGGAATATGGCAGAGGGATAGTCCCATCTGCTCCTAAGAAGAAGAGAGAATGATTCCCTGTCCCTTGTCAAGTGCCAGAGCTCTGAAGCATGCTGTCTTCTCATATGTCTGCTGTCAGATGACAGTGCTACCTGCCTGGGAGAGCCCAGGAGGATTAGGACTTGCTCCCTTTGGCTCACATCTCCTCCTTACCTGTCTCTGCTCTAGGACAGAGAGTTAGTCTGAATCATTGGCTTATTCTATGTAAATACACAGAAGCCCTAATCTCCTTGCTAGGGTTTGCATATAAATGACTTAAATTGATATGGATTATCAAATCAGAAGAAAACACACTCTAACTCTATAGCATGGGAGAGCTGGGAACTTGTCCAAAACGGAATGTACTTCCTGAGCAGGGGCCAACCAGCCAAAGCTGATCAGCTCCCAGGGCTTTGAGTCCACAGGCTAAGCTTCCTCTTGGATCTAGTTCTTAACCCAAACTTCAGAACTGGGTGCAACAAACTTAAATCACAAATTTGGATCTATCCTCTTTGTACCAAAGCATCCACTCCGCTCTAGACTCAAGGACAGACCAGAAAAGAACAGCACACTTAAGCCCTTTACAACTTGAGCCCATCTCCTGCAAAAAAAAAAAATATAATAGAACTGAACACCAGGACCTGATGCACCAACACATTTCATTGTTTTTCTTGCACACATTAAACAGAGAGAGATTTTCTGTAAATAGGTGGCTCCGTGCTCACACGGAGGCACGGAGCAGTCCCTAGAAGAATGTGATCCTGGATGCTATAAGGGAAGACCCAATGAGTTGTTCAACAACGCTGTGCTGTGTTTTGGGATCCTCAACAGAAAGAAGTGCTGCCTCAGGAGCTCTGTGGCTGAGACAGTCCTCCGGTGGTTTTGCTGCTCTTTAAGGAAGGCAATAGACTGTATAGTTATCACCTGAAATGGGATAAAATCCCTCCCACCAAACTATACAACCTACTACCTCACCTCCACAGAGCAGTACAGAGGTCTCGCCTGATTCACGGCCGTATCACTGGCTTTGCATTACTTGCACCACCTGCTTCCATGCTTGGAGTAGAAGTAGATGACGAGAACTGAAGACCTGACTGTCTCCTTAGGAAAGACAGTAGATTGTATAGTTAGCTCAAAGGGAGAATAGGACTCCACAACTATTCAATCTACTACCTCAGCCTCAAGGACAGCTTGGGACCATGGCAGTCTAAGGCAATGAGATGATCCTTACCGGGGCATTGGCTGCTCTGTGGCTCCTGTGAAGAGAAATGCATGAAAATTCATCAGCCTTCATGATGTTGGGGAAAAGGAGTCTCATAACCAGCCTTGTCCTGGAGCTCCCTTTCCGTCTTTAAACCTCCTTCAGCCCACTTGGACTATACTTTATCTTTGGAAATCACACTGGCTGCAAACTTTATGCACCCAAGGGCTTACGGAAGCAGCAGCCCTCCCCTTTGAACCCAGGGCCATACATGCAGATAGCACAGCTCTCCTGAAACTGCAGTAACACCAACTAATGTACAGCCAGGCTGACCTCACCTCTTGAACACACAGCATATCTAGAACAAACCTGCCAGACCAGATAAGAGAATCCATCAATTTAGCTGCTATGCACTCCAGGGAATTGAGCAGATTAGAAATAACTGAGTACAAGGAAGCTTTTAGGCTGCAAATGTAATGGTATCGAGTACATCAAGGCAGATCTCATTTCCTAAACAAATGAGTGCAACATGCAGGCTTGGTGTCCCTTTAATGCTATAGCACAGCCAGGCAATATTAGCATGGATCTGAGACAGACTGGCTTCCCCCCAAGCCTTTGGCTCACCTTCTGAGACTTTTTCATTCTCTGTACACCCAAGTACAGATGCAAGGTATTAAGTTGGTAGTTTAAAAGAAACGTGCAAGGTTCTTTTGCAATGAGAAAGAATTCCCCTTGAAGATTAAAGAAAGCCATAACGAAAAGGGAGCCACCAGTAGCACATTAAGCAGGGCTGCATGTGCAGCACAGCAGAGACCCAAAGGAGGATTTCCCATGAGAGCTCAGCAGGAGGTGTCCCCAGCCTCCCCAAACATCTGCTGAGTGTTGTGGTGGGAGAGGCTGGGGCTAAGGCAGAAGTCCCCGAAGAGACAAAGACTGCCTAATGCTTTGTGCTTCCACAGCTAACAGGCAACAGCCTAAACGAGATTCCCAAAGGTTTGGTGAACTATTGTAGCTGGGATCCTTGAGGTGAGAGTTTAGGCTGGCTTGGGGTACAAGAATATCTTTTCAGCAAGGTTTGGAAAGCGCCCCTGTTCCTTTGCAGGGCTGTCCAGAAGTCCTCACTGGCGTTCAACACAGTCCCAGTAATTCTCTTAATTTCCTTTGACAAACTCAGCCTTCACAAGGGATGACCTACTGTGCCAGGCCATCTGGCCCAGGCCTCTCCTAGTGTGACTGGGTATAAACAATGTCAAAAAATCAGTGCTGAAGGACTGATTCCTTCAACATTTAAGTACCCAGCCCATCCACAGTGCCAGGTGCCTTGCATCCCAAACAGCCTTCTGATGGGAAATATTATTCTTCCTGTTTTATTGGCATAAAAAGTGATGCACAGAGGTTGCACATCCCTCCTTAGCACATGCAACATCAGCCAGAGCTTCACCAAGGTTACAATCAGGCTCAAAGGTCCATCCAGGCTCTCACAGTCCACTCTGCCTCCTCAGAGACAGAAGTATTAGTTTAGACTCAAGTGGTTCAACTTCCCCAAAATTAAGCTAGTGCCACAGACATCAACCAGAAGGGAACGTGGTGGCCAGAAAGCCAGCAGCTGCTGCAATGGTAGAGGACTGGGGAGGTGGGTGGCCCAGATGATCGCATCAGGTGATGCGTATAGCAGAGGACATTCATCTTCTCTGAAGAGACTCTTGACAACTGACCTGGAGGAACAATTTTTCCTGATTCTCAATCTGGCGGCTTATATTATTTTAAACATATAAGCAAAATGTGTAGGCCAGGCATTTAAAAGGTCACTCTTGATACCATTGCAGAGAATAGACAACTCGGGCCAATCTCAAACTATGGGTGGGAAATTACATTAAATAACAACTGGTTCACATAGATCTAATTATACATGGAGAGGAAAAAAAAAATCCCTTCAGACTTCTATAAGTAATCCTGAAAACAGGAGATTTAATTATAATAATTGTCTTAATGAATATAGGTTTTGGGAATACCCAGCTGCTGACTCTGCAATCCTGATCTTGCCAGGATCTGTGAAAAAAGGAGTCGAACAGGAGGATTTAGAAATCCTGTGCTTGGTAAGGATCATTATGACCATCCTACCCTTAGTATCACTGTCATAGTTGTTTGTGCTAGGTGCTATGCAAATTGCAAAGACAGCAAGCCCCTCTTCTGGATGGCTTGTTGTCTAAACCATCAAGATAAAAGATAAGGAAAGAAGGAGAAGCAGAGAGGTGACCAAAGATCACACAGAAAGTCCATGGTAAATCTGATACTGGAACCAGCCTTGGGAAGTCCTGCTCCAGTCTCTGATTGCACTGTTAGGGTAATGGTTTGCCTGGTCCGGCCTAACCAGGTTAGGACAGGTCAATATCTACCTCTCTCCACTGTCTTTGACAGGGAGGGAAGAAGTGATCTTCCTTTTTAATATCTGCAGGAGAATCATAGATCCTGGGAGAGAGAAGATCACACACATGCTGGATAACAGCTCAATGATAAAACCCAACTGGGGCTTCTCAAACAGGCCTTATGAATTAGTCATATATCCATGCAGCCATAAGATTTGTGCAAACTCTGCATCTACCAAGATTCTCAGCAAAAATCCCATGGCAATTACCAATGTGTGCTGCATTCCAGCTCTGCCCGGCTTTCCAGACACAAAATCTTTCCTTGTAGCATATTGCTGCTGAAGCATTAGATTTACAAGTGCCTGAATGTGATGTGGCTATGCAAAATTCAGGATAAAATGGTGAACAGGGTCTGTAGGAATCAGAAGCCTATACCCCAAGGCCTCTCACAGCCTTCTAAGTTAAGACCAGCTTTTGAGGATTTTTGGATACTTGGCTGCTAAGAACTGGACCTCTTTGAAAAACACCATTTTCTGTGAAGACCTGAAGGTAGTGGCATGGCAATTCTCCCTTCCCAAATTCACAGGAGTCCTTCAAGACTAGCCAAATTTTATTTTTGTGAAAAAGCTCAGTCAGTCTCTGTGAGAGACTGCAGGAAGGTCCCCGTCCTCAGCGTGTGCCACAGCACGGTCCTGCTGTCTAGAGGTGCTTGGAGGGGTGAGAGAAATTGGCAGGTAAAGGATTAATAAGTTTCTTCACAGCAAGATCCTCCAAGCTGGCAAAAAAACGGCATTTCCAGTCCAGCTTTCAGACTCATTTTGGTGAGGGAGAGGTGACCTACACTGTTCTTAGGTTAGCAGGGCTCAGGGTGACTTGCGATGGCCAGCCGATCAGAACCCCAGCAGATAACCCAAGCTGGTGCCTCCCCAAATTTCAAAGCATCTGCAGACCAAAGATGCCCGAGCATGGCCAAGTCTCTGCCTTTAAAACGGGGAGGCACGGAGCCTGCCTCAGAGTAGCTGGAAAGGCTCCGAAGCTTTGAGGAGCTGATCTGGTTTATTAAGGAACACTGAATGAAATGGAGGAGGGGGGAGGAGGGAGGAGGAAACCATAAAACAACAAAGTCGCTCCTTTAAAAGCAGACACTGCTTTCAGCCTTTGTATAGCCGCAGTCCCGCGCGTCAGTGCCAAAATGTGCTGGGGACAGGCAGGGCTTCTCAGCGGGAAATCAGGGCCCCACATCTCTGAGAGGCTTTTCAGCCTCCTGGAACACAGGCTGGACTGGGGCAGAACCAGCCCCAACCAACACGAAGCCTGTGCGCAGCCAGCCGGCTGCGTTGGCACAAAATGGCTGACCGTCGGCCATTTTGTTTCCTTAGCTTTGCCTGGAGTGACTTCACGACCCCGCCTTGCCACGTTGCTGGAGTGGAAAAAATAAAATGCAAATAGACCAAAAAAGAAATTAAAAAAAAAAAAAAACACAAAACACCAAAAAAAAAAAAAAGTGAAAACAAAAAGAATCAGGGAAGGTTTTTTCAACAGCTCCCCAGTGTTGCTGGGGCGTACAGCCACATACAGCACCGTTCAGAGCCGTGCGACTGCCGGCCGGCAGCGAGGAACTCACTCGCAGGAAAACCAGCAGACATCCCAAAAAAACATCTTGAACGCACCCCGTGCCACTGAAAGGCAACGAAAATAGCATTTGCCAAACTAGCCACAAGGACAACTTGCTTCTAATTTCTCGCAGGCCAGGCAAACCTCTCAGAAAAGCAAGGCCAACCATCTTCCCAGACACCCAATCCTGGAGTCGATATTAAAATATCACGCTTCGAAAGAGTTAATCAAAGGTGCTACAAATAGGGAAAGGGAAATAGAAGCAAAAATATTTAAAGTTCATGCATGCAACAGCCCCCTTTTCTCAGCAATGCTTTTCCTCCATTCTCTTAGTGAAATAGGTAGTATTTCATATCAACGTTGTCATAGCATTTATTATTAAACAGATAGCAGATATCTTAGTAAATAGCTACTCATGTTAGAGGTTGTCTCAAGTCCTATCAGATGTTTATAAACATCGGGGTCATCATTAATGACTCTGGTATTATTATCTATAATACAGGCATCTGTAACCTGCTTGTTACACGACTTATCTTTTATTAACCCTTCACAAATCTGTTATTAAAGGTGCCCATAAAGCTAACATTTTTTTCTAAATGTTCACATATTTTCCTTGTAAATTAGCATATAATTTGCACTCTCCCAAAGGAAAAAAAAAAACAGAATTTTTGTCATGAAATTAAAACAGGTGCTACTGATATTTCATAGAGTTAATTTCTCCAAAATACTAAAAATCAAAAGATACAAGAGAAAAAAATATCTTTTTGGTTTATTTTTACCTGTTCCATACCTAATTCTTAGCTTAAGTAAAAAATCTAATGAAAGAAGATCCTTTCTTGTAATACTCTATAAAACTCTTCCATTAATACTGTTTTCCTTCTCGATGTTCAGTTCAAAAGCTGCTCACGAAAGGTGCTCAGGTAACATCCACCTCTAACGTAAATTTGGATCAAAACATTTAATTTGCGATGCGAACTGCCCGCCCAGCGCCCACACATGCAGCCCCAGCTCCGGGGCCACTGTCGCCCGCGCAATTCTCTACATTGTCCATTTGTAAGCAAGCCAAGCAGATATG